CCATTTATCATCCAAAAGCAAATCAATCCAATGGCATACCATCTGGAATTACCGGCTTCTATGAAGGTACATCCAGTCTTTCATGTTTCTCTATTGGAGCCTTATCGAGAGTCGTCTTTTTCTGGAAGTGTGCAATGTCTGCCACCTAGTATTGAGATCGAGAATCATGAGGAATACGAGGTTGAAAAGATACTGGATTCACGGCGAAGGTGGGACAAGTTGGAGTATCTTGTTCATTGGTGCGGCTACGACATTAATGAGCGAACGTGGGAGCTAGCTAAAAATCTCGCCAATGCGCCGCAAAAGGTACAGGAGTTTCATCAACAACATCCTCATAAACCTAAGCTGGTTCGACGATAGCTTCCTTCTGAAGTTTGCTCATCCAAGAATATAAAAAAAGGAGAGAGCACCACCAAAATTCGTAGTTGATGTAGTTATTTTCTCCAAGATAAAATAGAATTTTTTCAGTAGCCATAGTTTGGTCTTCTGATATGGATAGCCAAGAGATAGATACTATGCCAGTTAGATTATCTCAACCGACTAGCTCACAAAGGCGACCCCGAGATGAAGAACCACCTACACCATGATGATGACGAAAGATACCGAGTAACCGATCACTAGTGATTGTATTTGAGTCTGAGCCTACTTACGATGGTCAGCCAAAAGGCGTGTTTGCAGGACAATTTCACAATGAGGACACGGAAGTTCATGCTTGGTCAGAAGTTGAAGGAGTGGGCCACTACCGTTGGCTTTAAGGGCCGATGAACCACTTACCTCGTGAACAACAGTTGGAGTTCATAGCAGACGTTATGCGACAGATCTTCATTTTCTTGTGTTGGTACTGATTAACAACAACATTGCTTCTCAGAGACCTCGAAGCTAAAGGAGGAGGTGATATTAGGGACATAGTCCTTAGAACCTTCTAGAGACAAGTTTCTAGAACCTTCTAGAAGCAAGTCTCCGGAACCTTCTAGAAGCTTCTTAGTTGGTAGAAGATGTTAGGGACATAGTCCTTAGAACCTTCTAGAGATAAGTTTCTAGAACCTTATAGAAGCAAGTCTCTGAAACCTTCTAGAAGCTTCTTAGTTGATAGAAGTTGCTTGAAAAGCTTCCTAAATAGGAGTATATATTAGAATCGAGGCTGAAGAGTTCTTCAGTCTCGACAACACATCTCTTGGAGCTCTAGCTCACCTCTCTGGTGTTGTTCTTGTATTCATTTGATTAATCTAGTTCTTGCTAGTTCTTCTTGAACTTCTTGTTAGATCTCGAGTCTGTATTTTGGTGTCTATGACAGGTTTTAGAATTCAACAACATATATGATAGTTGACTATGATCTTTGCTATAAAGATAAGAACTTGGTCTCTGCTACTCTTTCTTAATTATTTTTTCCAAATGTGGTCGTAAATACTTTTGAGAATGAATTCAAATCATAAAAGAGTCACAATTCTTTTTTCCTTAAAGGTACAAATTAAGAGAGAGCACTTCTTGAAGAGGGATAATCCACTCTCTTTGAAGAAAAAATCAATGTTAGAAAATAAGATTTTTTGTTTAAAGGTGAGTAGTCCACAACCTTCAAAATACAACAATAGAAGTGAGATAATCCACGTACTTCTAAAATAAGATAGAAACAATAGGTTAGCATTCTTACCTAATTGTCAAGGATATGAATCTCAAAGAAAGAAAATCCTCAATATACTCTTATGTCACTAAAGAGAACTAGAAAGTCATTCAAAGATGATAATATATTAATCTAAAATGGCTATTGCCAAAAACAAGACTAGAAAGTCTTGAAACAAGACTAAGGACTAAAAAGACATTGATAAGAGTGAAAAAGGCTTCTTTCTTGCCTCCATATATATTCTTAATTAAGAGCTATGTGGCAATGTTCTATAGGACCTCCAAAACGTATTGACTTTGCAAGACATGTATCTTAACTTGCAAAGCAAGTTTTCTATATTTACGCCACATAATTAGCTTGTTGTACAAGCTACCAATATGTAGTTAACTTGTTGATCAAGTTTCTAACCAACCAATCAACTACAAACATATGTATAGTCAAAGTATCGTCTATGAAGCTTTTAAGAAGCTTCTTTAGAAGGTGTAATGAAATTAACCTACTTTTATCTAGTTTTATCTACTCCTACCTAATCATATAGGTATTTATTAGAATACCTATATATGTCCATGTCAAAAATTTATTTAGGGTTTTCAAGGTTGCTAAAAGATGTTTCTAAACACCTTATATATTATTTTGGATTGTAAATCAAACTTCAAGGTAAGTTCAAATTCTTCTACAACCAAATGACTAAAGCATTCTCAATTTTTATTTTCACATAACACAACAATGTATCAAATCAAGCATTTACATATATTCTTAGATAAATAAACATTAAATTTTGAGGTTTTAAAAATAGATAAATATAAAGATTTTTTATTGTAATTATGAAAGTTTATTCAAAACTATTTACTTGTTAGTTGGAAGTTTGTAGTGAGTGGAGTAAGTCTTATTTATGTAAAAAAACATTAAGGTAATTTTGTACATACTTGTCTTGAAAGATTTAAAGATTATTATTATTATTATTATTATTATTATAATTATTTATTATATGATCTCTTTAAGATATAGATTATAGACCTAGTTGAAATTATATAATGTACAAGGCATACTTTAATAACTTATAATATATGTAATTTATTTCTAAAATTAATTGGAATTAATAGATTAAATAATAAATAAACTAAAATATAGATAAATTTCAATGATTTAAAAAAATTGATAAAAAAAGAGAATTTCCTTTAATGATAATAATAATGGATTTTATAGTATTGCAAAATGTAGAAATAAGTTATCAAGGTTGTATTACATATTGAGAAATTTTTATTGTATTGTAAAGAAAATAAATTAAATAGAATAGATAAATTTAAAGGATTTTTAAAGAATATAGATGTTACATGTATTAATAAATAGTAAAGTATAGATTTAAAAATAATATATATGAAATCATTGAAAATAATAAAAATATATAGTTACCAAAAGGTTTTTTTGAATAATAGTAAGAACATTTCTTTTAAAATGCAATCTACATTGTATGATTTTGCTATATTTTTATTTCACACCTAAATATAATAACCAATGGAAAAAATTGTGTTATATATATTTATTGTTTCATAATTTCCACCATATTAAAAATTAAATTATATTAATTTCATTAAACTATAAAATATTGAATTTTTAAAATTTACTTATTTCATTGCAATGTAAAATGTAATAGAAAACAATTTGAAGACTTTCTGCACAATGTTTTGATTTCTTATCTTCAATGTTAAAAAATACATAAAGCTATAGAATATGCTTGACTTGTTATTCTTAAATATATCCAAGTTGGAATATTAAAACATAATATCAGAAAATTATAAAATAGAATAAAAAATTGTGAGAAAATTTAGAAAATTAATTTGATAGTTATTGGAAATATAAATGAAAATGAAAAATAAAAAATTGTAGTTCATTATTGTAATTTCTTGATTTTAGATTTTTAAAAATATCTATTAACTGTTTTTATACAAAAACATAATGTAATAAAAAATCAAAAAATAAATAAAAAAATCTGATTTGGTCTTGTAAAATCTGCTATATACAAAATATAACATTGAATTGTTGAAAGAATTCACATGTTAAATTGTCAAAATTTAGATACAATCTACACTTTATTTCTCCAAAAAAACAAAATATATGTACATATATAATTTTAAAATTCCGTAATATGTTTTTATTTTTAAAAGTGACAATAACTCAACAATAAATATCAAGATTTAGGTTACTATTACTAAATCTATATAATATTTAAATTTTAATAATTTCATATATTATTAGTACTTTATGTGTGAATATATATATATATATTCATAAATATATATATATATATATATATTCATAAATATATAACAAAACTATGCATAGAATTTTTTAAAGTAGAATTTTTTAAAGTAGCATTACATAAATACTGCTTTTGTATCAATTATTTTTAAAATATGTATACAAATAATTTTTATTTTTTTATTTTATCTTTAAAAAATAAAAGGTCCAGCAACTTATTTGTATAAAATCAATAATTATCATACATATTAGTATTGTGTGATTTAGAAATTTATTTTTTAGAGTATTTATTTATTAAGACTTCAAAATTTTATAACATTTCAAACAAAATTTATGAAATTCTAAGTAAACTAAACATAGCTCCTTAATAAATGTCTTGATTAAATTTTAATGCTAGGTGGTATTTGTGTAATTTCTGACTGTTAAAACCCTAAAATAATTGAATCCATCTACTACCCACTAAAACATCAAAAAGGAGGAGAAGAAAGAAATTCATTATATTAATATAAAATTGAAGTATTAGATCGACTTTGAAATTAGTAAGACCATACATAGAATACACATGGTGAAAGTAAACCATACATGCACAATGTGAATTTGTTAAAGTTTCAAGACAACATACAAACCAACAACAAGTCCAATTTGGATGAACTTTGATCACATACATAGAAAAAACTTCACAACAATAAACCATTAAACCAAAATTAGGAAAAAAACAAGAGAAATATCGCACTAGTTGGGGGTGAAAGTCACTAAACCCCGTTGAAGAAGGGAAAGGGGCGTCCCCTCCAAGAGATGCCATATGGCTTATGCCGAGATGGAGCGGCGGAGGCAGATATGAAGCTATGGCTAACCGGCCCAGCCCGCGCCTGCCCCCGCATGGGCACTGCCAGAGTGTTCAAATGGGGCTCACCACAAGCCTGCCTTTTTCTGCCATCTTGTGCCTTTTTAATGTCGAATTTCGGAATGAGACTTGCTATTCACTTTCGTTGAAGAATCTCCGAGAAGATTCGGTCGCGGGGATTGGATCGAGGCTGATGACTGAGAATAACTTTACATGGGTGGGTGTGTAGATTGACACAAAATGGTGTGGGAAGTAAATACATTGCGTGGCGACAAGCGGAGAATGTAGACATCCCTGACAATTACACCGACTCAGGCCAACGCCGCCCGAGACAACGTCGCACTGTGTGTGTTTATATGTGGGTCAGTGCTTGCGAGTGTACGTCGATCAATCGCGTTTCCACCTGGCAATTGTTGAAGTCAACTTGGTTTCCGCTTCTTCTTGTCGCTGGAAAGGAGCTGCAAGTGTGATGGGAGGTCAGGAGGAACTCATGCGTCGCTTATTAGGGGCGACAGATGTGCCGACGATGTTGGGGCGGCAGTGGCGTCGCGTGAATCAGCAACCTCTGCTTGATCCGCATCCCTCTCCTTCTCTTGCGCGACTTGAAGGGTCATTGGTATGTGACTGATCTCGTTCTCCTCCTCTCTCTAGCACTTCTTGGGTGTCGAGCAAGAGCCAGGGAATGACAGTAAATGGTATCCGCCAGAAAGGATCGTTTGGCTTGTGGGTGGTTTTGCTCCTCCGGATTTTGCGATCCGAACCCTGTAGACCCTGTCCTGCGGTGGGTGTGTTGGCCAATGTTTGGAGTCATCCCTCTCCGGGATGAATATGTGCATGTTGCCTCTTACGGACGGCCATCCTGGTCCGCTTCGGCAAGTGTAGCTTGCATTCCTCCCAGTTGAGTTTAGAATGGTGCGTGGCTTGCGTGCCGCTACAGAGTTCTGATTCGGTAGAACAGAAACAACTACAGTTCTTCGGAACCTGAGGTGCACTGGCGAAACTCAAACTGCATCATTGTTATTTGGAGAATAACTGGTGATTGCAGAGGGCTGGGGTTGGACTAAACGCTCGCGCCTGGTCTTGTTGTTGGTTTGGTGGAAGCTGATCACAGGCCGTGAATACCCAGTATATGTGAGCAGCTTCGACGGGCAGAACGTATCCGCTCTAGTGCTGCTGTGTGAATCAGAGTTGCAAAGTGTCTGGGATTAAACCGTCGTCCTCAAATTTGAGTTTCGGATTCCAGGTGAGACACTGGCTAGGTGCGCGCAAGGTCGTAATGAAGGCGACGCATCACCGCATTTCTGGTGCAGAGAGCGTCAAGTCGAAGCCAAAATGTTCCCATCGTGTTCGGAAACCGATGCATTCGTTTTTAGTGGAGGCAGCAGCCGGTATTCTTAAGTTTTGGGTATGCATTTATTCTAGAATTGAGTCCAAAAGCATTTTGATTTCATTCAGATTGTGGATATAGATGTTATCTGAAGGTTTTTAGAATTCTTCATTATTTTTATACTCCTGTGTATTCCCCTTCTAATTCTCCATTCTTCCTGTTTTGTTAGTGACTCGGGTAATTGTGTAACGCCGAAGGGGCTGGAGCTACAATGAGTGGTTTCGGGAGAGATGAAGGCGTGGAGCCGTAGAAAGAATTTCATGTTCGAAGTTTGAGCCACTCCTAGGATCCTTGACAACTGAGCAGAAGTAGATAAAGAAGCGAGCAACATGACGGCCACTTCGGCGTTCATCACATCTCTCCTGACCTCGTTCGGTATTTTCTGTGGTCTGGTGTTTGCGTTCAGTATTTTGTCAAAATGGAAAGTAAACCACAATATCTACTATTCGTCGCGAATAATATCTGGTGAGGGGCCGACAGCAGCTGCAAGTACGCGGAATCCGTTCACGTGGTTGTATGAGGCGATTTTTACGTCCGATGCGGAGCTCGTTCGGGTGGCTGGCTTAGACGCTGCCATATACCTCAACTTCTTCGTATGCAGTGAGTTCCTCACAAGTGCTAAGAATTTTTCGAATTGTTGCCGCTGTGTTGTTTTTGAGCGTTAAGAGGAATGATGGCCGAGGGCTAGCTTCGGTGCGGCCGAAATTCCATCCTGAAAGAAAAATCGTTAGAACGATTATGCATTCCATTTCAGGGATTCGAATCAGCTATTATCGACATAAACTGAGACTCTTATGCACTGATTTGCGCTGCTCTTGGGATGTTAACAATGTGACGAACAGTTCTGGAGATCTTTGGATATTCGTCACTCTTTTGTATCCCGGTGCTCATTCCCATCGCAGCGAAAAGCAAGTCTAATGCAGACGCTTTCCAGCTGGATCCTAATATGACTTACGATGGGTTCGACAATCTCGCTATGGGCAATGTTGAGGTCAGTGTGTCCCTTACTACATCTTTGTGAGTTTCGGTTCAGAACTTCGTGCGCCTCGGATCGTAATGATTCGACATTGTGGTTTTGGTTACACAGGAAGGAACTAAGAAGCTCTGGGCATTTCTTGTCGGCACCTACTGGGTATCAATTATGACATACTGTGTTCTGGTTAAGCATTACAAGAAGATGATTCACTTGCGGGGAAAAGAGCAAGCGCATGAGAAACCTGCACCTCAGCAATTTTCTTGTCTGGTTCGTGACATCCCCCCTAAGCCGAAGGGCATGTCAAGACGGGAGCAAGTCAACGCCTTCTTCAGAAAAATCCACCCGGACACTTACGAGAATTGCCTAATCGTTTGTAACCTCAAGAAGGTAGAAGGAAAATTTTCCAGGTTCAGGATTTTTAGCTTGAATATCGTGTTTTGCAATTTCTTAGACGATCACATTAGGCTTGGTCTACGGATTGCGGTTGACAAATTTCTTTACTGAGGATTCGTTTCTGTCGGAAACAGCTGACGAAGATGTGGACGAAGTATCAAGCGGCGAAGAGGAATTTGGAGCATGCCGAAGCGGTACATGAGGAGTCGAAGGTGACGGCAAAGCCTGAAGGGATTCGCCCAATGCACAGACTATATTTCCTGGGACTATTTGGTCCGAAGGTAGACTCTATCAACTTTTACGAGGAGCAAGTGAGAGAAATTGGGCGCGCAGTGGAGGCTGAGCAGCAAAGGACTCTCAAGGAGGAGCAGCTCCCTGCAGCTTTTGTATTCTTTAACAACCGGCGAGCTGCTGCAGAAGCTGCACAGGTACTCGTTGCAGGCGTACTCTCATATCTGAGATCATGGTGCCCTGGTAGACGATGTTGTTTGCCTCATCGTCCGTCATTCTTGTATGTAACCTAACTTCATTCACATTCTTCAGGCTGTGCATGCGCCATACGCCATGCAGTGGCAAGTTTACCCAGCGCCGGAGCCCCGTGAGGTTGTCTGGAAAAACCTGCACAAGTCCGTCTATGAACGACTGATTCGCCAAGGTCTTGTCTACTTCGCAGTTTTCATGACAGTCTTGTTTTACATGATTCCTATTGCACTGATTTCTTCCTTCACCACTCTCGACAATCTCGTCAAGTTCCTCCCCTTCCTCAAGGTCATCGTCGAATATCCTCCCATCAACACGGTTCTGCAGGTGAGCCCTAAATCTTAATTGAAGCAGGTTTGTGTGAAATTGCCTCTTTTGGGATGATGGAAGGCTTGGACGGAAATTTATCGTGGACTTTCTTGCGTTGGTTGTAGGCTTTTTTACCTCAGATTGCCCTTATCATTTTCCTGAGCCTGCTGCCATCTCTCTTGATGGCATTATCAAGAATGGAAGGCATACCCTCTCAAAGCCATGTGGTTCGAGGAGCGTCTGGGAAGTATTTCTATTTCATCGTCTTCAACGTGTTCCTTGGAGTCACACTTTTTGGGACGGTCTTCTCCTCTCTCGCTGGATTCCAAACGCTATTCAACTCCAAGAACTTCTCCGTTAGCAGCGTTGTGTCCCTGTTTGGGAGCAAGCTGCCCCCTGTCGCGGCATACTTCATCACTTTCGTTGCCCTTCAGTAAGCCCTTGCATCAACATTTCCTACTCTAGAGCAATCTATCTACTTTTTTAATTTTTAATTTTTTTAGTTTTTAGTTCTTTTTAGTTCTTTTATTTTATTTTAACGGCGAGCTATCTTCCCATTCCTCTCTATTGCAAATCTCATGTTCCTCTTATTTTTCATTCGTTTATCTATGTAACAAAAAATCTCTTGGCAGGTTCTTTGTTGGCTACGGGTTGGAACTATCGCGTGTTGTGCCGCTGGCCGTCTATCACCTAAAGAAAACATTTTTCTGCAAGACTCAGAAGGAGCTGGAGGAGGCATGGGAGCCTGGACCATTCGAATACCATAATTTAGTGCCCAATGACATTCTCATTTTGATGATCTCCATGGCCTACGCCGTAATCGCGCCCATGATTCTCCTGTTCGCTCTCCTATACTTCGCCATCGGCTACGTTGTCCTCCGCAATCAGGTCAGTATCAACAGGCATTGAAATTTAGTTGTGGACACAAAATATTGAAAATCCATTTTTTTGTAAGAGACCAGGTTTTTATCTGTCTATTTCAAATCTCCTGTAGGCTTTGAAGGTGTATGTCCCGGCGTTTGAGAGCGGCGGGCGCATGTGGCCACACATCCACTCGCGAATTGTCGCAGCGTTGTTTATCGGACAGGTCACGATGATGGGATACATGGGAATTAAGAAGTTTCCATACGCAGTGCTAGTGATCATCCTTCCGCTCTTCACAATCTTCTTCGCCTCTATGTGTAAGATGAACTACTACCCTTCCTTCAATGTCATCTCTCTCGCCATCGCCAGTGAGGATGTTAAAGAGTCTCCACCTATGCGCAAAATTATTGAAGCTTACACACCCGAGTGCCTTCTCACTGAAGAACGAGCCTTGGAAGAGAGCGCGCATTACGAAGATGCGCTAGAGTCCAGCGTTAGTTCAAGGCCGATGGGTGTTTCTAGATCCAATTCTGTTCATGAGAGCACGGAGAATCTATATGCACTGTAATGGCGCTAAAGGTTTGTTCAATTGCCACTGTCAATATAGCCAGCTCTATCACTCCACACTGCCTTGGAGGTAGTGTTTTTCTTGAAAATTATTTTGACAAATGTTTATGAGATTTAGAACAGTACCAACTACGAAGAATGTAAATGGTTACGAAATGTATACTCCGTAAATGAAGCAATAATGAAATTGCTACACAAACTGTTGTATTTGGAGTCTAAATACCATGGTACATGTTGCATACGAGTTGTCAAAACTTACAGTGTGTTTTATTGAAGATGGACAATACATACAGGACATTGAATTTTTACATCCATGCCCCAGGGCATCTGCATTGCCAAGAGTTTTTTTTCGCAACAGGTTTTGACGATAGTCTAAGCACCTTTTTCTCACAATGACACGCACGTCACCCTAGCTGCTTGTTGATTAATCATCATATCCATTTCGTCCGCATGTAATGGGGTCTTGAGGAGTTAAGATGAACTCATTATTTGGCTCAAAAACTATGCCTAGGTCGCGCACAAAATTCAAAAGCCTTGACAGGGTTTCATCGTCATCGTCATAGTCGTCGTCGTCATCGTCCTCGTCGTCAAGCTCCGGCTCGCGGGACAGGATAAACAGCGACTGGGATCCGCCTGGAACACTCTCATCGCAACTATACACAATCGCTACATTGTACTTATCCTCAGCTTTACCTGACAAGTAAATAATGCGGTAGTCACCTCCAGGGGCACCGGGGAAGAATTTCACCTCCAGTCGGCCAGGGCTGACAACCGTGGCAGTCCCGATAGCATGCGCGAACTCACCAGTTCTGATGTTGTATCCTTCGTTACGCACCCGGATAGAGCCAGCGAGGTCGCCGTCTGGGATCACCGAGTACCGCGCGGTTGCGCAAATCAAGTCGCGCTCGATTCTTGCCTTCACAAGTGCGGTGCTTCCAATCTCATACCAGACGCCCGAGTAGGCCTCCAGGCTGACGTTGGAGACAGTGGGTGGATTAGAACACACTCCCTGCGATGGGCTAGGAGCCTGCACACGACCAAACGCGACTCTTATCACCAGCATTGTCAACCCTACGACAGAAACACCCATAGAAAGGAGGAATGCATTCTAGGCGAGAGCATTTGATAAAGGTGTCTACGAACTAAATACCCACCTCGGTGTGCAGAATCCGCTTAGCACGCGCGCCTTCTCCGGTCAAGACCACCATCGCCAACAGCAGGATACAGTGCCATACACTGGAAGCTCCAACACTCGCCATGTCTGGAGCAGACACTGGTGGTTTCAACTACACAAGCTTCAGTAGGTTCCGTAGACGGACTCTAACATTGAGAACTCACTCAGATTGCTACAAGCTACCAAGAGCTTCTAGGTCGCAACATACACATCTATATATTATGTGGTAGGAGAGGATATGGCAGTGGTGACATGGAGCCAGGGAGCTTTGTCCAGTTTAAACTACCATGTGGCTTCGAGTGAGAAATGTTCGGGGTCCTTTAGCTGCATTAAAGTTCACAAGCTGCTGTCCGAGTGGGGGGTTTTGCTATGACGCGAGCTTGACTAGACTGGGGGACCTTCGACAATGGGTTGTGTGTGCTATGAGGCGGTAGGTAGCTGTGGCTCACAAAGCCTGATCTCAACGTTGGCCATAATGCTTCCGCAGACTCCAGCCTGCGTGGAATATCCACATCTTCTCACGGAATATCCATTTGATGATGCGTTTAATTAGCCTACCGCAACCAGTTGCATTCTGAACATTATGCAAGCCTTGCGAATGGTTTTGGGATATACATACACACACTCTTTGATTGAGTCCACAAACCATACTAAAAAAACATACAGTTTTATACAAATCTTCTAAAAAAACAAGACACAATTTTTTTATGTTGTCAAATAGATGTATGATTGTACAAGAAACATTGCAAAAAATTACATAATAATTTTTGCTTATTTCTTCTCTACTGCATTTGTGAATATACTACTTTGCTTGGATTTAAAGATGAAGCATATTAATAGTATGTATATGTATATATATATATATACATATATATATATATCTTCTACCATTTGCATAACCAATTTTAATGCAATTTAGATTTGTATAATATAATAAATTTATATACAGTTAAAGATCAATTAAAGACCATGAATAAATAAAGATCAATGCCTACCTTTTATAATCATTGACCTCAAACTCGTTATGTACTAAATTTTCAATAGAAATTGCTACTATTGAAATTTAAAAAATATATTTAGAAAATATATCTATGGTCTTCTATTAGTAATTTTGCTTTAACAACATGATTTTTTAACCTTGTGACAACCAAATAAGAACTTGTAACATATTAAAATTAAACATTGTATTGGAATAATATTGAACTTTGTCAATCAATTTTTTTATGAATTATTATAATATGTGAAGAAAGTTTTTCTCAAATTACTTAACTCTCAATTATTAGACTGAAATTCTTTGATTCAAGTCTCTTAAAACACAAGAAAAAATTCTATGTTAACAAAAAAGACTACCTAAGTTATAGAGATCCGTAAAATATTATCTAATATTGTTCAAAAAGAAGTTTTTTTAAAAGAAAAATAATTTTTTAAAAAAAAGAAAATATATTTAAAAAAATGTATAATAATAAAATATAGATGTTAAGAAAATAAATTTAGAAAAATTTAAAAAAGATAAATAACTTGTGTGCCACTTAAAAAGAGACAAAATAAGCTATGAAGAAATAAATATAAGATAGAAAAGAATTAGAATAACTATTAAATTAGTATTTGAATACAACAAAGACATTAATAAGACTAAATATGATAAATTTATTCTTTGTTTTTCATATATTAGCTACTAAGAAGGTCTTGTAGAAGCTTACTATGGATCATAAGGCTTATGGCCTCAATACCAAATTATAAGTTACTTCTATCATGGTTCTCTAAAAGTAAGAAACTTATAGAATATGTTTCAACAAAGAATTAAATCTTCATATAAGTATAATCGTTAGAAAAATTCTAAAGAAATATAAGAAATATTAAGATGCATTTGAAAAAAAATACTAATATTTTGCTTTAAATTTTTTCTCATAACTAGACATTAACTTCAAAAACAAATATCAAACACTATTAGGAAAAATTTATAATGTGTTGTAAAAATATTAATTTTCTTCAAGAAATATATTAACAAAAATATTATATGGAATTTTATTTGATATTCAATTTTTTCTATATCTATATCAAATTTTATGAAAGAATAATATAAATTTTTATACATATGAGTAGGATATTGTAGATTAAATAAATTTATTTTAGATATTCATTATCTTTTTAATTTAATATTAAGACGTTATAAAAACTTATGTAAAGTTATAATTTGCATAAAAGTTAATTTATAAAGAACCTATAATCTAGTAAATAGCAAAAACATATGTAAAATAAGTTGGATTTTAAATAAGGTATGACCATTTAAAATATAATTCTATAATTTTTAGAATCATAAATGCTATACTTGCAATTTAAAATGTAACACATAATATACTTAATATTATTTTATAAAATTATATTATACTTATATAAATAATATTCTTGTTTATTTTATAAATATAAAAGACATAAAATTATATATGCTTTGTGTTAAAAGACTAAGAGATGTAAGATTTTATATTAGGATAAAAAAATTATATTTTATACACTTCAAGTATAGATTTTGTAATATATTATTTCAAATTTAAAAAAAAATTATAGATGGATTTTAAGAAAATAAAAACCATCATAAAGAAAAAAATTCTAAAAATTACATGTGATATTTAATTTCTAATTTTGATTTTATAAAGTATTTTTAGATACCTATGAAAAAATCTTTTAAGTTATTGCTCTCTTCATATAATGAACTTACAAAGAAAAAACTAAAATTAAATAAAGATGTAGAAAAAGGATTCTAAGATTTAAGATGAATTTTTTAAAGCTTCTATTTTGTATTATTTAGAATTTTTAAAGAATTTTTTTATAGTGATTTATGCACCATTATTTGTATCAAGTTTAATTTTATTATGTCTTTGTTATAATTTATATTTGTTATCACATGTTGTCTTAAAAAACCACAAGAATATTTAGTTTTGTTTAAATACTCTTATTATACAACATAAGAAAAAAATATTGCTTATAATTAAGAATAAATACTATTTTTTGAAATAAAATAAATCAAATCTTTGAGTTATAAAATAAAAAATTCTCATTTATTTTTTATTTTTGATAATTTTCTTTGAGCATTTAAAAAACTTTTCTTTTAGTTTCAATAATTATTTTTTTGATATTTTTAATTTATTTTAATCTCACTATATTAATCTTGTATATATAAATATATATATATTTCAATAAGTTTTATAAATATTTCTTAATAAATATTTAATATTACTTTTTAAATTTTAAAATATGTTGCACATTCTATACTATACTCAAAGTTGTTGAATCTATAATAGTTTGTATATACTTAGAATATATTTACAAGCTATCATTTGAGATGATACATTCCAAAAACTCCATTTGAATTGTGTGAAATACATTTATTTTCATCTTAATATATAGTCTTCTATGTCTAAGTTCTTGTAATATAACATTATTATGTTTTTTATGTTTTTTATATTTATAAAAGATATGAGAATATAATCTTAATAAATTACTAAAATATTATCTAAAATTTATAAAATGCATCTTTTATTAAATTTTAGGAAGTAGTTGGAGCATTAGTACAAGACTTAATATTGTATTTAAATGGCCATAGTTAGTTTTAAGTATAATCTTCTAAAAATATTTTATTTATTTTTAATAAGAGTAAAAATTAAAGGCTTTTATAGATATTTTTAAATATAGATCCTACTTTAAAACAATTGGTCAAAAATTTCTAATATCAAAGACAAAAGATAAAAATTCTTAATGATTAATTTGTAGAGATGGCAATAATCTTTAAATATTTATAAGATCCATCTATTTTACTTACAAAAAAAAATTAGTACACTTGCAAGAGGTTTTTAATGATACAAATTATCCTTAGTAAGATTTTTGAAGAAAAAAGTTTGTTATACAAGTTGTAAATTGCAATAGATACTTAAAATTTTTCTTAAAGATGAACTATGCAATCATAAGGTCAATATTTTAGAAGTGTGTTATCATTTTTTTTCACAAATATATCTTAATATTCTTTTATATTACTCAAATATTCTATTGTAACCACTTTTTGAATGAATATTTATAAATATTTCTATTTAAGAATTATCTTTTTTGAACCACAATAATTCTAAAATAACAAGATGTTTTGAAGATTTTATAACATTAGATACTATCAAAATTTTATGACATTTAATAAGTTTTTATATTAATAGAATTTATAGATGACTTTAATAGAGGATAAAAATCATCTATTTATAACTTCTTTGTGTAAATTTTTGACTTTTATACTAATAATTCTTTATGATACTTAGCAATTTTTTCATGAAGAAATAAAGTAGAGGTATTAAATCAATTAAAAAAATATAGAAATTTAAGGCTTTTTTATCATAAATAAAACTATACTAAAAAAATAAGCAAAAATGGTTCAAAAGAAATATGCTTTTTTATTAGATGGTATAGTATAAAAGTCCAATGAGATAGTTTAAAATATTGCTTAGCAAACTTGTTTTTCAATACATTATCTTTTTTAAAAATTTTATTTTCTATCTTGGAATTTTTCTACTTCTTAATAAAATATTAAGTAGTATATTTTAATTCTCTATATTATAGGCATAATCTTTTTTGCCTTGTCAAAAATTTGGCATATAAAGCATCAATCTATAGATTTTGTATATTTATTTATACATTCTAATTACTAGAATTATTTGCAATATAATTATAGAAGCATGAAAGTATCATAATAAAACTTTTTGATTAAAATTTAAAGATTTGATTATTACATTTGGCAAAAAAATAAATTACTAGGCTCAAATTTTGAAAATTAAGAAAGTTGAATAAAAACTTCTTTATATCATATTATAGTTTTCTAAAAATAATTATTAATAAGTAAAATACCTTTTTACTTTAAATCAATTTTTAATTGTCAAAATAGTCATGAATATATTAATATAGATTAATATTTTGTTATATATCTAAAATTTTATTGATTGATATATTATTTATGTCAAAGATTTTATATTTAAATCAAAATTTTATAAAGAATGTATCTAAGATGTCTAATATTAGATCTAATGATACTAAAAATAATAAAATTTTAAAAAATATATCTATTGAATAAGTTTCTATAAATTTTAACAAAGATGCTTAGATTAGATAACTAAGAGATTAAATTTAAAGAAAAATTTGTATTTAGTTGATGAATCTTAAAGATTTGGATTTAATACTATTAAACTTATCCAAAAAAACAAATTTTTATTTTCTAGTTGATATAATTGCATTAATATGAGATATTTGACATGATGAAATTGTTAAAAAAGTTTATTTTGTATCTATGCCTTCTTAATTGATTATTGTAGATGTTGGTTGAACTAGTAGATGAAGCACATCTATAAGAAGTATCAAATCTTTTGTTTCTTTTTGTATTATTTCTATGGCATTTTTTGTTTCT